GGGGGTTGATTGCTTGATTGTGACTGTTTTCTGCTGGATCACTTATCCATATATAATTTCAGAGGCATCCAAAACCAGGTTTGGGACCCTCACTCCCCTCTTTGAAGCCCTGGGTTTCTATGTGTAGATTGAATATCTGGTACATTTTTATTTATGTGATAATATAGACTCAATGAATAAATCAGAAAGAAATAAAGCGTGTGAGAAGATGAGCAATTTACAGCACCCAAATTCAATCATCAGTATGGGAATGCTTGCACATACTTTCATGAGCTATTTGACACACAGATCTAACTAAATATCACATGGCAGTTAAAGTTCAAAAGGATCTTCACTTTGAGGGAATATGTTTGCTGCCTCAAATGTCTGATGACCTGTCACGTGGAATAGAAACTGAACGTGTGGTAGAGCAAGGGGAGCTCTGAGACTGACAGAAATCCCAAGGAGACAGGTTTCAACTCATGGAATTTTTAGCTGCCCACATGCACAATGGATTGTTTTCAGGAGAAAGCGAGTTCCTAGTGATAAAACATATTCAAGCACAGGAGGGCATTGAATCAGGGATGCCAAAGGCAAGAATAGAGGTGAATGATTGTATTGATTGACATTACTCAAATCTGACAGGTCACTGGGTTCACCAGGGGAACATGTGCATGTGTTGCTGTTTTGCTTTTCAACTAAAAAAACAGTATCTGTGTGTTTATGTGGGGGGGGGTGTATATATGTTGGGGCGCATGTGCAGATGTGTGTGCATGCACAGGGAGGTCAGAGACCAACCTCAGGTGTCCACAAGTTCCTCAGGTGCTATCCACCTTGGTTCCTGAGGCAAGGTCTGTCATTTACCTGGAGCTCACTGAAGAAGCTAGGCTGGCTGCCCAGGGAGGCCCAGGGAGCCTCTTGGATCCACTGCCCAGAGCTGGGATTACAAACACACGCCACCATGCCTGGCTTCTTGTCTGTGGGTTCTGGAGATGGAAATCAGGTCCTTGGGCTTGCAAGGCAAGCATTTTTCTGACTGAGCTGTCTCCCCAGGTCTCCCCTTTTTTTTAATTTAAAAATATATGTAGTAGGTCTGGGAGAGGTCTCAGGAATCATACTTTTAATTATCTCTCCCAGTTAATTCTGATAATCACTTAATTCAGCAAACAATGGCATTAGAAACATTTAAGTTATTTTTTGTTTCACAGTAAAATTTTCCATAGCGTTCTAACTACAATCTTAATTTTGAATATCCTCAAAATTCTAATTTCCTGCTTACGAAAAATTAAGTGCTACCCAGAATCAAAAAACCATATGAGCTAGGCATGGTGGCCCACATCTTTAATCCCAGGAGTCAGGAGGCAGAGGCAGGTGGATCTCCATGAGTTTGAGGTCAGCCTGGTCTATATATTGAGTTCCAGGACAGGCAGGGCTACATAGGGGGACCCGGTCCAAAATAATAACAATAACAATAATAATAATAACTTTTAAGAGATTTCCTTTTCATTCTATGTGTGTATTAATGTTTTGCCTGCATGTATATAAGTGTACCACAGGTAGTGTATGCATGTGGAGGCCAGAAGAGGGCACTGGACCCCCTAGAACTGGAGTTAAGGACTGGTGTTAACCAACATGTGGATGCTGGGAACTAATCCTGGGTCCTCTGGAAGAGCAGTAAGTGCTCTTAACCTCTGAACCATCTCTCCAGCCTCTAAAATAACTTTTAAAAACGTCCACATTACTCTTTCCAAAACTAGCTTCCCAGTCAAATCTTGTCAGTTGTTGAGGGTTGACTGGGTGGCCATCTTCTGGTGGACGGGCATGTCCCCTCCTAGCTGGCGACAGGGGAGTCACTCCTGTAAGCATGTCCTCCTCCATTGTCCCACTCTCTGGGTACCTCATCTCCAGGGCTGGGTTTTCATCAGTGCTATAATCCAGGAGAGCTGACTACATGCTATTCCCACTAGAGAATATAGTCTCATCAATCTGAAGGCTCCCTACAGCACTGTCCACATACACTGGGGCAGGAGTGGGCTTGTGGGGCAATTCCCTGCACCTGACCAATCTTTCTCCTGTGAGAATGTTTGCTCAGGGAAAGCCACAACAGCCTTGCCTTCTCTTCTACTGGATCTTCGGAACTAGTGCCTGGTGGGTGCTCACTAGAAAGAAACTGAATTTATACTTTCCTCCCTTGGTCTGTTCTAGGAGGTCAGAGCCATGCAGTTCTCCAGCTCAGCCAGGGCGGCCGATGAGAATGTTGACTATTTGTTCAAGGTCATCCTCATTGGAGATTCCAACGTAGGGAAGACATGTGTGGTACAGCATTTCAGATCTGGGGTCTACAGCGAATCGCAGCAGAACACCATCGGGGTGGACTTCACAGTGCGATCCCTGGAGATCAATGGCAAGAAAGTGAAGGTCAGAGGGGCACTGGGGGTAACTGTTGTTTTTAGTCAGGAGTCCCCAACCCTGAACCCTATACTTACCATCCTAGAATGAGGCAATCAGCCTTTTAAGTAAGGTATGACCACAAAAGTCACAAAAGGAAATATTTCTAAGTCTATCTAAAGGTGAAATTTTGCACATACTGAAAAAATATGATGAACAAAGTCAAAAGAAGAATGACAAACTGGAAAGAAATATTTTCAATATAAGGAAGAGCTAAGTTCCTTGATATGAAAAGAGCTTTGATAAATACCTAAGAAAAACACCAACAGCTATATGGCACATGCATGGTGCATGGTACATGCATACCTGTAATCTCAGCACAGGGCTGAAGCAAGAGGATGGAGAATCTGAGGTCAGCCTAAGCAACATGTTGAGTTACATACCAAGAGCTACATAGCAAGACCTTGTCTCAAAAATAAACAGACAAAAGATCGACAACCAAATATAAAAATGGCTAATACACAGACCAGACAAAACGTGCTTCAAAAATTTTATAAGAACTAGATTGGGGTGGGGGTACTGGGGGAGAGGCCTGGAGAGATGGCTCAGCAGTTAAGAGCACTGGCTGCTCTTGCACAGGACCTGGGTTCAATTCCCAGCACCCACATGATGGCTTCCAACCATCTATAACTCCCATTCCAGGGGATCCAAGCTCTCTTCTGGCCTCCAAGGGCATTGCATGCATGTGGTACACTTAGATACATGCAGGCAAAATATGCATAAAACAAAAATAAATTTAAAAAAATTTTTTAAAGAACTAGATCAGATCTAGCTGGGTGTGGTGGTGCACGCCTGTAGTCCCAGCACTTGGAGGCAGAGGCAGGTGGATCTCTGAAAGTTCAAGGCCAGCCTGGTCTACATAGTGACTTCCAGGACAGGACAGCTGGGGCTACAAGGAGACCCTGCTTCAAAAAGACAAAAATAAATAAATAAATAAATAAATAGAACTAGATCAGGTCAGGCATGGTGGTACATGCCTTTAATCCCAGCACTCAGGAGGCAGAGGCAGGTGGATCTCTGAAAGTTCAAGGCCAGCCTGGTCTACATAGCAAGTTACAGGCCAGTTGGGGTTATAGGGAAACCCTGTCTCAAAAAGAGAACAAAAAAAAATGAGATTGAGATAGGAAGATCATGAGTGTGGGGTGAGCTACAGATAAGCAGAGATCTTGTCTCAAAATATAATAAATAGGGGGCTGGGAAGATAGCGCAGCTGTTAAGAACACTGACTGTTCTTGCAGAAGACCCAGGTTTGAATCCCAACACCCACATGGCAGCTAACAATTGTCTGTAACTCCAGTTCCAGGGGATCCGCCAGCCTCATCTGTCCTCTTGGGCATTGCAGGACATGGATGCACTTACCTACATGCATGCAATACAATCATATACATAAAATAAAAATAATAATGGGGCTGGAGAGATGGCTCAGCAGTTAAGAACACTGGTTGTTCTTGCAGAAGACCCAGGTTTGAATCCCAGCACCCACATGGCAGCAAACAACTCTCTGTAACTCCAGTTCCAGGGGATCCAACAGCCTCATGGGTGCACTTACCTACATGCAGGCAATACACGCATACACATAAAATAAAAATAATAAATAAAATATTTAAATATAGGGCCAGGCGTGGTGGCGCACGCCTTTAATCCTAGCACTCAGGAGGCAGAGGCAGGTGGATCTCTGTGAGTTCAAGGCCAGCCTGGTCTACATAGTGAGTTCCAGGACAGCTGGGGCTACAGAGAGACCCTGTCTCAAAAAGACAAAAAAAAATTTAAATATATATAATAAATAAATGAATAATAAATAAATACCTAAAAAGACATTTTAGCCAGGTGTGGTGATGCACACCTTTAATAACTTGGGAGGCAGAAGCAAGCAGATCTCTGTGACATTGAAGCCAGTCTGGTCTATACAGCAAGTCCCAGGCCAGCTGGGGCTACAGAGAGACCCTGTCTCAAACAAACAAACAAACAAACAACAAAAAGACATTTTGGAGACCATCAGGAAAATTGTAATATGATGTGGATATCAGGTGATGCCAGGGAGTTTTTGTTAGTGATTGTCATTATGTAAGGAAATGTCTACTTGTAGCCAAGAGCAACGATAATTCCAGAACTCAAAAGGCAGAAGCAGGAGGATTCCGGCAGGTTTGAAGCCAACAGCCTGGTGTACTTGGTAAATTCCAAGCTAGCCAGGGCTACCCAGTGAGACCCTGTCTCAAAAAATCCCAAAAGAGCCGGGCATGGAGGCACACACCTTTAATCCCAGCACTCGGGAGGCAGAGGCAGGTGGATCACTGTGAGATTGAGGCCATACTGAGTTCCAGGCCATCTGGGCTACAAGGACACCCTGTTTCAAAAATGAATAAATAAATCCAAAAAGAAAATATCTAATATAATAATAATAATAATATATGCAAATGTAAGTCCAGCTGAAGAGATTTGCTATCAAAAAACAGCACAAAGAAATCTATAGAATGGGTTAAAAAAAAGCCAAGACTGACAAAATCTTGATAATTATTGAATTTTGGTATAGGAAGACTCATTCATTTATTCTCTTGTTTGGTAATGTGTTAGCAAACTTTCTTTAAAAGATTTTTTAAAAGGGGTGGGGGACTAGTGAGGGCTCAGTGGGGAAGAGCACCTGTCACCAAGCCTGACAACCTGAGTTTCATCCCTGGGACCACATGGTGGAAGGAAAGAACTGACTCCTGCAAGTTATCCTCTGACCGCTACACGTGCAGTGTGGCATGTGCATTCCACATACATACATATACATATAATTAAAAAAATATTTTTATTTATTTATTTTTATTTATTTATTTTTGGTCTTTTTGAGACAGGGTCTCCCTGTAGCCCCAGCTGTCCTGGAACTTACTATGTAGACCAGGCTGGCCTTGAACTCACAGAGATCCACCTGCCTCGGCCTCCCAAGTGCTGGGACTACAGGCGTGCACTACCACACCCAGCTACATATAATTTTTTTAAAGATTAAAAAAATTTTCTTTCTGGTACTGGAGATTGAACCTGGAGCTTTGAGCATGCTAAGTGAACACTCTACCACTGAGCTACATCTCCAGCCTTTTTATTTATTTATTTTCATTTTGAGACAGGGTCTGGCTAAGTCATTCAAGCTGGCATTGAACTTGATGTATAGCCTTGAACCTGTGATTCTCTTGCTTCCACCTTATAAGTAGCTGGGATAACAGTCACCAAGCCTAGCTAAAAGTTCAAGTTTACATAGACAGTATGATTAAATGGAGGTGCTTGGTGCCAGGCATAAGTAACTGATGCCTGTAATCCTAGGACTTGGGAGATAGAAGCAGGAAGATCAGGAGTTCCAGGTCATCTGTGGCTAGCTACATATTGAGTAATTAAGAGCACTGGCTGCTCTTGCAGAGGACCTGGACTTGGTTCCTAACACCTAGATGGCAGTTCACAACCATCAGTAACTCAAGTTCCAGGAGTTACTGATGTCACTCTCTTCGTGCCTCTGTGAGTCAGGCACACACATGATGCACATACATACACGCAGGTAAAATACTCATATTTGGAGCTGGGCATGCTGTCACATGCCTTTAATCCCAGACACTACTGAAAGATATATAAGTTAGGAAGTATTGTGATAAGTATGTAAATGTGAACATCCTGAGTGGTCCTTTAAAACCAAACCAGTTCAGTCTAGGCCATCACTTTTGTCAGAATTCCTACCAATGGGTTAGCTCAAAATATGAACCCTAAAATCTAGGCCAAGGGATGATTGAGGAGAAAAGTCAAAGGAACAGACCTGGGACCAGGTCCTCCCTTTGGTAGAAGAGCCCCTCAGGTGGTGATTCCCAAACTAGAGCTTCCCATACACATCACCCAGGGACCAAAGGATGGCACAGATTCCAGGCCCTGCCTAGCCCTGCTGAATCCAAATATGCAAAAATAAAAATTGTTTGTTGTGTTTTTAAATTTTGATTGTTACATTTATCTACTCTGTGTGTGTGTGTGTGTGTGTGTGTGTGTGTGAATTTGTGGGCACACATGACACAGCACAAAGAGGACAGCATGTGATGTTTGGTTGTCTCTCCACCCTGTGGGTCCCAGGGATTGAATTCAGGTCATCAAACTTGGCAGCAAGCCTCACCTACTGAACCATCTGGCAATCCCCCAGGAAATTTTTTTTTTTTTTTTTTTTTTTTGGTCTTTTTGAGACAGGGTCTCCCTATAGCCCATCTGGCCTGGAACTCAAAATGTAGACCAGGCTGGTCTCAAACTCACAGAAATCCACCTGTCTCTGCCTCTGGAGTGCTGGGATCAAAGGCATGCAGCACCACACCTGGCAGGAAAACTGTTTGTAAGATGACTTAAATGAAGGAGCTTCCATGCTGTTGGAACTCCTGACAGGACTCTTTCTTGTCCTCCTACAGATGCAGGTGTGGGACACTGCGGGCCAGGAGCGCTTCCGAACCATCACCCAGAGCTACTACCGCAGCGCCCATGCAGCCATCATTGCCTACGACCTCACCCGGCGGTCCACATTCGAGTCTGTCCCTCACTGGATTCATGAGATAGAAAAATACGGAGCAGCTAACTTGGTCATTATGCTGATAGGTAGGGAGCTCTCCAAGTAGTTTTTCTTTCTGGGTCCCCTCAGTCGGTACTCAGCTTGCTTTCCCAGGCAATACAAAAGTCTAAAAGTGCAAGAGGTGGATGGGTACCTCAGAAAGCATTTTGCTCAAAGATTCCTATCAGATTCACTTAGGAGTGAGAGTGTGAAAGCAGAGTGGTACAAGTAGTTAAAGGTATAGATTCCAGGCTGGAGAGATGGCTCAGAGCTGAAGAGCACTGGCTGCTCTTGCAGAGGACCCAGGTTCAATTCTCAGCACTCACACGGTGGCTAACAGCCATCCATAACTCCAGTTCCAGGGCATCTGACACTCTCTTCTGGTTTCCATAAAATTTTTTTTTTAAAGTGGCTGGGATAGCAGGGCGTGGTGGTGCATGCCTTTAATCCCAGCACTTGGGAGTCAGTGGCAGGCAGAGCTCTGTGACTTCAAGGCCAGCCTGATCTACATAATGAGTTCCAGGCCAGCTGGGGCAACAGGGAGACTCTATCTCAAAAGAAAGGAGGAAAAAAAAAGAATACATTAAATTCCCATACAGTTTCTCACTGGGGGTATCTGGGATGGACAGGGTCAGTCCTGTGAAAGACTTGCTAGCAGATTATAGGCAGGATGCTGTGTAAACCACATAGGAAGTACTGCAGAAGTCTGAGGTTAACAGTCAAGTGGCCCCAAATCTCCAGGGAGCCATTCAGATGACTGTGACTAACCACTGAATGATTACTTACAGTGTGTAGGATCCTCAGTGAAACCTAAAAAACCATCATCAAAATTCATAGGAAGCCACTTGTACAGGCACATGCCTGTAATCCCAGTTCTCAGGAAGGTGAGGCAAAATTGAGTGTTCAAGGCTGATGTGGACTGCATAGTGAGACTCTGAAAAAAAGTGGGGGGGAGGGGGAAAGCTGGGGAGAGGGCTCAATCAGTCTATGTGAATCAGTGACTCATTCTTGCTGCATGAGGACCTGAGTTCCAATTCCTAGCACCCAGGTAAAAGCCAGGTGCTGGGACACACATCTGTAACCCTAGCCCTGGGGAGCAGAGTCAGGAAGATCCTGGAACTCCCTAGACAGCCACTCTGTGTGAATCAGTGAGCTCCAGGTTCAGTGAGAGACTTTGTCCCAAAAAACAAGGCGGAGGGGACTGGAGAGATGGCGGAGGTTAAAAACACTGGTTGCTCTTGCAGAGAACTTGGGTTCAGTTTCCAGCACTCACATGACAGCTAACAACCATTGGTAACTCCAGTTCCAAAGGATCTAATGCCCTCTTCTGGCTTCTGTGAGCACTGCATGACACAAGCGCACTCATACATGCAGGAAAAAAACATAATATAAAAGTACATAGAGCCAGGCGTGGTGGCGCACGCCTTTAATCCCAGCACTCGGGAGGCAGAGACAGGCGGATCTCTGTGAGTTCAAGGCCAGCCTGGTCTACATAGTGAGTTCTAGGAAAGCTGGGGCTACAGGGAGACCCTGTTTCAAAAGGACCAAAAAAAAAAATTAATAAATAAATACAATTTTTTTTAAAGGTGTGACTGAGGAAGACACCCAGCATCAACCTCTGGCCTCATGTACATGCATACATGTACACACAGGAACACATACACTCACATACACCATACACATGCACACATACACAATTCATAGAAACTTCAACTACATAAACAACCAGAGTTTAGAACATGAGCAATCCTATTGTACTTACAGGAAAGCATAATGTTTATGCTGTAATCGGAGCACTCAGGAGATAGAGACAGGAGGATCAGAAGCTCAAGGTCATTCTCAACTACATAGTAGGTTTGAGGCCAGCCTGGGCTACATGAGACTCTATCTTAAAACAAAAGTTAAAATCTTAGGCTCCATTCTAGACCTGATGAGTCAGTCTTCATTAGCAGATACTGGAGTGATTTGTATAGAAATTAAAGTTTTAGCAAGTACAGATCTCCACAACTAGCAATTGGACTGAGAAAAAGCTAACTATACCATGTCTAGTGGATAATTTAGACATTGACATGCATACCCTAACCTCATGACATGACCCTCTGAGCTGTGGTTTTTTTCATTTGTGTGATGGGACTAACAGGGGGGTAAAGATTTAATGAGATGATGTACAGAAAATGAATACCAAGGCTTCACACAGTAAGTAAAGGATAGGATTGGTTTCTAGAAAGTTATTTGTGGGGCTAAAGAAATGGCTCATTGGTGAATCCAACAACCTCTTCTGGCCTCCGTGGGCATTGCATGACACAGATGCACTTACATACATGCAGGCAATACGCTCATACACAGAAAATAAAAATAATAAAAACAATACATTTTTTAAAACAGAAAGTTCATTTGTTTGAAGGAACAAATTCATCTATATTCCTTAGGTAATAAGGGCCTGACCTAATAGTTAAGTTGAAAGCCCATGGGATCCAGGTAAAACTAAGCAAGCATGCCCTAGATAAAGCACGGACCATAGCAGAATCAGATCAGCAAAAACAAGAGTTAGAGGGAGGGCTCTCCTGGCAAGACTGGGCCAAGGCTGCACTTTAAACCATCCCCCTTTGCCCTATATTGTGCATCTTTTTTTGTAACTCACATCTTCTACATGTGTGTACACACATATCTATAGATACACGTGCCCGTGGAGATCAGAGGTCCATATTGGGTGTCTTCCTTTCTTGTTCTTTACCTTTTTTGGGACACTGTCTAACAATGAACCTGGAGCAGACCAATTCTGCTAGACTGGCTGCTCAGCAGGGCCCTGAGATCTGCCTGGTCTTCATAGTGACCAGTCTGGTATACACAATGAGTTCCAGCCAGCCAGGGCTACATTGTGAGTCCTAATCAAAACCTCACAAAAACAGGCAGGGTGTCAGCTTCCTATAATCCCAGTGTTTGGGAGGTGGAAGCAGGGAAGTAGTTCAAGGCCAACCATGGCTACTTAAAGTTGAGGCTAGCCTGGGCTACATGGGAACCTGTTTCAGAAAAACACAAAAAGGGTCAGCAAGATGACTCACTGGGTAAAGACACTTTCCACCAAGGCTGAAGACCTGAGTTCAATCCCTGGGACCCACAAGATAGAAGGAGAGACCCAACTCTCACAGGTTGTCCTCTGACCTCCAAACACTCAACATGGCATGTGTGCACACTCCCCACCCACCAAATAAGTATAATAAATTTTTTTAAAAGTACAAAGAAGGGCCGGGCATGGTGGTGCTCGCCTTTAATCCCTGCACTCTGGAGGCAGAGGCAGGCGGATCTCTGAGTTCAAGGCCAGCCTGGTCTACATAGTGAGTTCCAGGACAGCTAGGGCTACAGGGAGACCCTGTCTTAAAAATACCAAAAAAAAAAAAAAAAAAAAAAAAAAAAAAAAAAAAAAAGTACAAAGAAGGAAAGGGGGAGGGGAGGGGAGGGCGCTCATTTGTGTAAAGATAGGTACTTTGCTCAGTGGAATGTCTGCACCTCTTTCACCGCAGGGAACAAATCGGACTTGTGGGAGAAGCGGCATGTCCTATTTGAGGATGCCTGCACCCTGGCGGAGAAGTACGGCCTCCTGGCTGTCTTGGAGACATCGGCCAAGGAGTCCAGGAACATAGAGGAAGTCTTCGTGCTCATGGCAAAGGAGCTGATTGCCCGCAACAGCCTGCACCTGTACGGGGAGAGCGCCCAGCACGGCCTGCTGGCAGATTCCACCCCTGTTCTCTTGGCCCAGGGCCCTGGTGAGAAGAGCCGCTGCACTTGCTGAATGCCTGGAAGGCCAGCTCAGAGCCAGGGTCTCCGGGAAGCACTGCAGGCCGAAGCCTAGATTTGCCACTCGTTCTTTCTCCATCCAGCCTGAATGCTCACCACTTTGTGTCAATTCACTCCAAGGGACTCCAAGGAACCAGGACCCTCAGGAGCTCAGGCCCTCGGGAAGAGGGTCAGGACCGCTCCTCCCCTCTCCCTTGTCTGGAACATTCTGGAGCAGTTGCAAACAGCTCAGGAAAAGAGTGGGGAAAGCCTGCAATGAAAAACCAGGTTGCTTTGTGACATTCACAGCCAGGAGGTCTTGGGGGGAGGACATTGACAAAACACGGGATGGGACACGGGACATGACAGGACACTGTTGACCTAAAAAACAGAAATGCTATCTTGCCAAATGGTCAGGAACCAGAGAGGGAGGTAGAATTGGCTTCCCCCCTTGTCACTGTGACCATAGGGATGGGAGAGATGCCCACTGTGACTTCCTAAGACCTCCAAATGTCCCATGTTTCAGACGTCAGTTCTACATTAAAAATTAAATTGCCTCCTAGTTGATTCGCATTTTGTGGCCTTCCATGTGATGTGGTCCAAGAACAGCTGGGGCCTTCTGAAAGTAGTGCCCACTTTCAGAACTAAAATCACAGAGCGTCAGGGTTTATCTCAGTGGTAAAGCACTTGCCTAACATGTGCAGTATCTTAGGTTCAATCCCTAGCACTGCAAATTAAATAAATGAAGACAATAATCATAAATTTAAACAAACACAAAGGAGGTCAGTCATGGTGGCATGAACCTATAGACCCAGGACTTGGGGGACTAAGGCAGAAGGATCACAAATTCAAAGCCCATCTGGGCTATGCAGCAAGACAAGACCTTGTCTCAAAAAAGAATTAGGGATTTGGGCTTGGTGGTACATGCCTCTAGTCCCAGCACTCAGGAGGCAGAGGCAGGCAGAGATCACCCTGGTCCACATAGCAAGCTCTAGACCAGCTGGGGCTATAGGGAGACCTTGGCTAGAAAAAAAAAAAAAAAATTAAAAGTAAAAGTAAATAAATACATGAATAAATAAAATCCTTTTTGAGGCAGGGTCTCACTGGGTTGCCCAGGCTGGCCTCAAACTCCTGAGCTCAAGCAATTCTCCTGCCTCAGCCTCCAAATGTACCTGGGACTTCCAGTATATGCCATGTGCCTAGCATAGATAAAGATTTGTAAATAGGGGCTGGAGAGATGGCTCAGGGGTTAAGAACACCGACTGTTCTTGCAGAAGGCCTGGGTTCGAATCCCAGCACCCACATGGCAGTTAACAACTGTCCATAACTCCAGGGGATCCAACAGCCTCTTCTGTCCTCTGTGGGCATTGCACAACATGGGTACACTTACCTACATGCAGGCAATACATGCATAAACATAAAATAAAAATAATAAAATATTTTTTAAAAAGATTTGTAAATAACTATAAATTCATAGCTAAACTCCCAAGAATAACAACAATCTTCTAGGGGCTGAAAATGAAGCGACAGCTAAGTATCAAAAGCTCCAACGCTGCTCCAGGTTTCCCTGAGACTGGGAGATGATCTGCTCAGCTGGGAAAACCTGAAGCCTCATCACCCACAGGGAGACAGGAAAGGACAGTCCTCAGCCTCCATGAGAAGGGAGTTAAAATGCGAACCCTTTCCTCACAAAGAACTTCAGACTACTCAACAATCTGAGGACGTGTATGTTTGAAGAATCTATAGGCAGGTGACGTGGCTCACTTGCCACCAAACCTGACTACCTGAGTTCCACCTTCAGGACACACATAGTAGGAGAGAACTGACTACCAAAAGTTAACCTCTGACTTCTACACATGAACCAAGGCATGTATGAACACACACACACACACACACAATATAAGAAAAAAAATTAAATTGGGCTAGAGAGATGGCTCAGCAGTTAAGAACACCGGCTGTTCTTGCAGAAGACCTGGGTTCAAATCCCAGCACCCACATGGCAGCTAACAACTGTCCATAACTCCAGTCCCAGGGGATCCAACAGCCTCTTCTGTCCTCCATGGGTATTGCACGACCTGGGTGCACTTACCTACATGCGGGCAATACATGCATACACATAAAATAAAAATAATAAAGTTTTTTTTTGGGGGGGGGGTTCTGTCTTTTTGAAGCAGGGTCTCCCTGTAGACCCAGCTGTACTGGAACTCACTATGTAGACCAGGCTGGTCTTGAACTCACAGACATCCTCCTGCCTCTGCCTCCCAAGTGCTGGGACTACAGGTGTGCACCACTATGCCCAGCAATAAAATATTTTTTTAAAAAATTAAATTATGGGGCTGAGAGATGGCTCAGTGGTTAAGAGCACTGGCTGCTCTTGCAGAAGACCAGGTTTGATTCCCACATGGTGGCTAACAATCATCCATAACTCACTTTTCAGTGGATCTGATGCCCTCTTCTGACCTCCAAGGGCATTGCATGACATGGGTGCATTTAACACACATGTAAAATAAAATAAATGAGCATCTCACAAAATGTCCTGTAACGGTGGTGGGTCATCTGACCTCTTGATCAAGGAAGCCAAGGAGATTCCACCAGATGGACTTGAACCAGTGTCCAGTCTATAAAGAGGAGGGTCAACACGGAGGAATCATTTCCTCCATGCTTCCAA